TAACAGCCGGCATCCCTGAACAACACTGCTACAAAAACCATCCCAGTCGGGTTTTTTTCTTTGGAGAGGAAACAAGAGAGAGTAAGGGAAATCCAGTTAAGTATATCTTGTTAGTCGAAAATATGAAAACAATCATGATAGAAATCTCTTTTTATCGGCAGTGACCATCACATCTCTCTACCCTTCCACCTCACGACAAGGAATCCAAACACTCTGGGTGTTTTTTTCCACAATGAGACGACTTCTTCCATTCACCTGGACAAGTCGACAGCTCCTTAAGTGCTACGAAACTCTCCAGGATTCAATAACTGTCTGGCACTTGCTCCAGCCTAATTTGAAAGGCCCTTAGGACCTCAGCGGCTCCTGTCAAACACTGCTGTTTTCATTGAACAGGTTTCTAAGAATCCTACGTGTTAAAAACCACCAGTTTTAGATTTAAGTCAGTTGAATGTGATAAATAATGGGCCAGTTTGTTTCTCTCAGTGGCAGAAATCCTCTAATTCATAGACTTATTGATGGGAAATGCAATAAATAGTAGAAGTATCAAGTGGAAGTGACAAAAATAAATAATTACACGATTTTGGCAGGTTTCGACACAAATATTTCACTTTTAGCTGCTAGATATTCACGTTCCCCTCAGGAAGAATAACTTTTACCTCTTTCTCGCAAGCATATTGCCGGGGCTCATGCCAAGCCAGTTCAAATGGCAGTACCCTTAAAAAAACTTTATTCGTCCAAAAAAGTTGATTGCATGTAAATTTTCAGTGTAATTTTGTTACATAATTACAACACAAGATGTTAAATCTAAAGGAACTTGTATACATTCAGTTTGTACTGAGTGCATTTTTCTTAAATATTAATTCTTTGAGTAAATAAACCTTTGATTTTATAGATTTCAGTTGTATTTTACTCAAAATTATCACGTCATCTTGAGCAAGAGTGAAGAATCATTTCTACCTTGGCACCTGTTGATAAGCAGACCACATGTGGACAGGTTTGAGTACCAAACATGACGTAGCCTTGGTCTGGGTATTTTTTATGGCCAACAGAATTCTCTGAGAATCATTGTTGAGTTTATTGTAGTAACCTCTCCCATACATGTTATCACTGGTTGCAACTTTAAGCCCAACAACTTTACTGTGCCACTTTCTTTTTTTTTGGTGAAAACGTATGGGACAGGTTCCAGGAATTCACTGGCAGCAAAAGGGGAAAGTGTTCTACGGTTGACTTTTTAACTTAGTTCAGTGCTTTTGACCAATCGGCCTCAGCTGAAAAGAAAGAAAAAACTGATGATTTCTAAAAGGCTTTTTTCTCTAATTTTGTGCGGTTGCACAAGTACTTTGGTCCAGGCTGCAATATCTCAACAACTTTTGGGGGAGTTTCACGATACTTCATGGGTACAATTATGGCAACTACAAAATGAATGATTTTGTGGTCCTCTCACTTTGCATTTAGTGCAGAAATGACATCAAAACGTTTCTAAAATCATCGAAATGCAGTGTCTTCACAAAATCTGTGTATGAGCAAATGTTAGCATGCTAACACCTACATGCTGCCATTTTTATTCTGTTTTAGGATGGTGATAACAGCTATTAACAGTATCTCAACCTAATAGAGGCATGACTTTAAAGAGGCAAATAAAAATCTCATTACTGGGAACTTGCTGTTGGCCGCTGACTAGGTTGCAGTTATTGGGGCTTTCCCACATCAATAGATGCACTGGCAAGAACTCTACATTCACCATCAGGCTACTGTACTCAGCTGTAACCAACGTCCATAAAGGGTAGAACCTGAGAAAATGCA